TTCAGCCTCAGCAAGAGGAGGCTGAGGGGGGACCTGGTGGCTGCCTACAAACTCATCAGGGGAGATCATCAGCAAATAGGAAGAGCCCTTTTCTTCCCAGCACCACCTGGGGTGACAAGGAACAATGGTAATAAGCTGATGGAGAATAGGTTTAGGTTATATTTTACAGTTGGGGTGGCCAGAATCTGGAACCAATTTCTTAGGGAAGTGGTCCTCACCCCTACCTTGGGCAAATTCAAAAAAAGGTTAGATGGTCACCTGTCTGGGGTCTTGTGAACCCAGCATTCATTCCTGCCTGTGGCAGGGGGTCAGGCTAGATGATCTGATCTGGTCCCTCCTCACCCTAGCTACTATGAAACTCTCCTTCGACTGCTGCCTTCCCAAGGGCCCAGCCAGGCCAGGCTGCTTGCGGTGCCTCCCCCATGCCTGCTCCTCCCTGCACCTCTCTTCCTTTCTCTCCCTCTCTCTCCTCTTCCCTCTCCCCTTTCTTTCCTATCTCTCTTCTCTCATCACAACATGCTTACCAAAAAAGAACACACAAGAATAAAGGTAGTTATGAAGTTTTTATTGTCACCAGGTTTAGAATTTTTAGAAAACCTGGTATTTACTGTAAAAAGGCAACATTTATGATGATTAATCATATTAATATGCAGTATGTCCTGCAATGTACCCCCTCCCCAGTTTTGTTTTTCTGGTGTGCCAGCACTCCAGCACCTTACAAGGTAGATATTGTGGTTTTTTTGACACTCCGGCCAAAAAAGTTGCCTATCCCGATATACAGCATCTTTTATTTCTGTGACATTGTTTTAGGGTTGACGCTTTTATTGTAGCTTGGGCCCTTGTCATGATCATTATATGCTGCAAATAATTTTGACAATCTTTCTTGGCAAAGGAATCACTTGAGGAGAAGAACAGGCTTCTCAAGGAGCGTCTGGACAGGATATTTTCGGGCAACGAGCGCCGTTGTTCCAGAGCCCCAGTGTATGGCAAGGACTTGTTGGGGATTTGTTCTCTGATTGGCGAAAGAAAGATTTCTCAGCATTGTTCCCCTGGGGACAACAAATGGAGGTGGGCTGGCTTTGTGAACTGTTGCCTTTCTTCAAGTGCCTCAGGAGGCCCAAGTAACCCACTGCAAGATCTGATCTTGACATTGGATCAGCAACAGGAATCCCTGAAGGATTTTGTTAATAGGTAATTTGTGGTGAATGATTGTAGATTTCTACTAAAATGTGTGATTTCTAAACCAGTCCTTTCTGAATATCTGTGGGATTTCTTTTTTCTGTTTGTAGCTGATTCATTTTAGGCAACTTGATAGTGTAGCACAAGACATACACTACTGAGCCTTACACTGAGATATTACATTGGCCTTCAGTGTTGGGTTTGAAGATCTTTTATAATAGTAAACTGTCACTTTTACACCCTTAGAGTCTTCTATTTTTTTACCTTTAGAGTCTTTTGCTTTTCAATTAACATGATAGAAGACTTTCTTAGAGTATCAGCTCTTAGATTGTTGTGGAGAGCAAAACAACACTGAAGCTCAGTGCTGTTAGAATTAGAAAGAGAATCCCGCATTTCTTTTGTGTAGCTTACAGTAAAGTTAGTACAGTCTGTGCTGTTTCTTACCATTGGTGTACAATACGGGGCACTATGGGAAGCTGATTTGTACCTGGATTGTTCAGTGTTTTCTTTGAAAAGCAGTTGATTGATTGTCCCTGCCAGGAAAGCTCTAATTTTGATCTTGTTCATGTGGAAAATGCCCTGGTTCTTAAGCAAATTAATTCAGCCTCAGTTCATCAAATATCAAATAGAAGTTAAGTTTTAGTCTCTGGGCCAAAGACTCCTGCAAACTGTCCAGCTGCTCTCAGGAGTAAATTTCTATGCCTGCAGGTTTGGAGCCTTTGTTCTTCTGTAGCAAAATGTGGTTTAGCCCCTGTCACAAATGATCTAAATAGTTAACAAAAGAAACCTACCTGAGACCTGTGATAATTAGCTGGGTATGTTTACAAAACATATGTAGGCTTCCTAGATGTTAGAATAGAAATTGAATTATGCAGACATGCTGCAAGATTATTGCTAGCATTGATATGTAGCTGCTGCTTCTCCTGTGTGTTAAAATAAAGTTTTGTTGCATTTCACAGGGCTCTATATGTGTTGCCAGCTGCAGTCACTGCTCCACCATGTTTATATGTAGCAAATCCTCCCCCTTCATATAATCACAGAATGAAAGTCTTTAAGCACAATCTTAAGCAAAGGGTGGCTCCTTATTTACATCAACTGCGACGGATCATGACTCCACATTTGCTACAGTTCCCTGATCTCCGACTCGTGCAGTACGATTCAGGTAAAGGAGGGCATTTGGCAGTATGATGCAAACCTGCTTTCTCTGGCAGATGTTGAACATTTGGTACCTAGTCTTTACCCTTTCTCTCCCTGAAACAGGGAAATTGGAAGCTCTTGCTGTCTTACTTCAGAAGCTGAAGTCTGAAGGACGTCGTGTGCTGATCTTGTCACAGATGATTCTGATGCTAGATATCCTGGAGCTCTTCTTGAACTTCCATTTTCTTACATTTGTGAGGATTGACGAATATGCCAACCAGGAGCAACGTCAGGTGAGGTTACTTGAGTCTGGGGATATGGCTTTACATGTTTGAGACTTTTGTGCACTGAAATGTGAAAGAGGGAACCAGCATTCACATTCTGACATAAATTGGAGATGAGATTTTCTTCCCATTTTCCTACCCATTACAGCTAGTGCAGATTTATTTCAGTAGTGTCTCATGTTTCTGCTTTCTTTCCTCTTCCTCTCCCCCTGTAGGAACTGATGAAAAGTTTCAACCGGGACAAGCGCATTTTCTGTGCCATTCTTTCCTCCCACAGTCGTTCCACAGGAGTCAATCTTGTAGAGGCAGACACTGTTGTGTTCTATGATAATGATTTAAACCCAGTCATGGATGCAAAGGCTCAGGAGTGGTGCGACAGAATTGGGAGATGCAAAGACATCCACATATACAGGTAATGATTACATGGAGCAGCCTTTCTATTGCATTCTCTAATGTAGTATTAGTTAAACCAGGGATCACTGCTTTCTGACTTAGAAAAGCAAAAGCTAATATTTTATCTAATTAAGGAGAAAAATGATCGTATTACATAAAAACATAGCTAATGATTATCATAACACCTGTGTAATTTGTGAACTTAATTTTTCTATGCTACAGAGTGGAAAACATAAGTTAACAATCTTGTGGGTCTCTTTGACTTTTTCAGGGCAAATGCCTATTAATATTGTAGTATTTTGAGTAATGGAAAATTTTGTAGTGGATATGTTTGAGGTCCCCCCCCCCCCACACACACCTTCCCAAAAAAAAATGTTATAGTAAGTGAAAGGAAAAATCATTTGGAAAAATCAATCAAAATAATCAGTGTTGTAGTATTTCTTCTTCTTTTTTGTTTATTTATGTGTAAATCACAAATCTTCACTAATAGCTTTCCTTCTTTTTCTTACTTAATAAAAAACAAAGTTTTTGGGGAAGACAGTCCGTTGTGATAAATCCAACATAACATAAGATTATAGACAAATGTACTTTTTTAACTGCTTTAAAAGGTTATGGAGCGCTGCAGTTATGATCTAACATGATCTGCATGCTACCGTAGTGATACAGGTTACCCAAACTGCTATAACTTTACTCCCGAATGAATTGGGCTTAAAGGTAGAATGGTTTTGGTAAGCATTTATAGTACCAGAAGCATGCAGATATACAGTGTTACAATGCAACTGCTATATTGCTACTTTGGTAGCAGTGCATTTGTTGGGTCTAATTTGTTATATTTGCTAATTCATAAAGTGCAGCTTTACCCTGGCTACAAAGTGTTAGCTAGGACCATTTAATAGATTAGCCTAGTGCAGCCAGTGCTGTAAGAGGTCAGTTTTAGTCTCTAATATCCTGTTTGGTTTTTGGATGGCATTTTGAGAACACGATAATAAATTTTCTGTTGCACTTTAGGCTTGTAAGCGGTAATTCGGTAGAAGAAAAGCTTCTGAAAAATGGCACGAAGGATTTGATCAGAGAAGTAGCTGCTCAGGGAAATGATTATTCAATGGCCTTTTTAACACAGGTACTTTTATATTAAGAATCCTTCATTTCCTCCCCCAGAAAGACTTGTAGTAATAAATATTGATTATTGGTAAATCATCAGTGTTTTATAGAAAGTTAATTTGAGTGGGATTTAGTAATTAAATTAAAATAATCAAGAGATATGGGAAGCCCAGTTATTGCATAGATTTTAGGAGATTTTTGGACCATATCATTTCCTGGTATTGGACTGTATAGGCAGGGGCTGGGCTTGGTTTCTTACTGGTCTCTTGTTCCTACTGTAGCTTTTTGTGGATGTGGAAAGAACAGAAGCAATAACATGTAGCTTTAAAAATGGGGATATAAAGTAAGAGGGTGTATTGAGACCTCTCCTGGAAGTGCAGAATACGCTTGCCCCACATTTCTTTTAAAACAAAATTTACTCAGGAAAAGGGGCACCAGAAATATTGCCAGAAAAGTGAGAGGTTTTCTTTCTCCTTCAGCCATTGTACTGCTTCAGAGATCCACTTGATTTCAGGTTATGTCTAAGTAGTACCAAAAACTGAATGATCCTGAAGAACTTGTTTTTTCTCTCCCCCCTCTCACCTAGCAAACTATTCAGGAATTGTTTGAGGTTCATTCTCCTATGGAGGATTCTGGTTTTCGAGTCAAAGCAGAGGAGTTTGTGGTACTTTCTCAGGAACCTTCTCCAGCAGAAACAATTTCACCCAAGGTTGCAAGACCATTTATAGAGGTAATTAAATAACACATTTGTATTTGTAAGCATGAGAGCAAAGGGGGTAGGGTGTGAGGGTGGAAGCAAAGCAGTTGAGTTAAATGTACTGGTCTTACCCTTTTAACTTTTTTCCATCTTTTATCTTTCTGTTTCAATTTTTATCAGACTTTCTTTTATTTTAGCAAGGTTTATAAAATTCAGTTGCATAATCTCTTTCTTCATGGAGCTGGTAGGTCTGTTTTCTAAATACATATTGTATTGTAAAAGTTGCATTGATGCTGTTGAGCTTTGCATTAAGCTACGTGAGCACATATTTTTAAAGATACATTTTAAAATGCACCTGTTTTTTCTCAAGGCCCTCAACAGCATTGAACAAGAAGAGGAGCCAGGTGAACATATGCCAACAGCAAGGAGTAAATCAAGAAGAGAAGCTTTAATTTCAGAGCTCTGCGAGCCAAAATACGAGGAACCTTCGCAATTACAGGAATTAGTTGCTGTTGTGGACCAGGTACCAGGATTTTCCTTGTTTTATTAACAATTGGGAACATTTTTGTTTAAACCGGTCAACTTATTTTAGTCTGTTCAAAGCAACTCTGCTTTTAAAGAGTCTGTTACAACTTGCATTGAAATCAGTGTCAAGAACCCCTGCTGGCTTCAGTGGGATATGAGTAAGCTGTAAACAAAGGAGATTTATTGTAATGAGAGCTTGGGTAAACTCTGCTTGAATCATAACTTCGTGTTATCTTTAGTGCTAACGATATTTTCTTAATGTGTTCCCTCAGCTTACTCCTATTGAGAAGTATGCTTTGAATTATTTAGAGCTCTTCCATGTTTCCATTGATGAGAGTGAACCAAGATTAAATGAGGTAAAATGTAATGAGTGTCTCTAGTTTCTTTTTTACACTACTACAATACGTGCCAGCAGGGGTACGTCTTCAATATGCAACAAAAACTCCAAAGCGTGTGATTTTTATTTCAGGCACTATAATAATCCTCTGTTGCTATAGTATCTGAGTGCCTTAAAAAATATTAAGGAATGTAACCTGACAAATCCCCTTTGAGATGGGGCAAATGTTATTCTTTTTATGTTTTATAAATGGGGAAACAGGCGTGCATATTAACAGCCTAGTCCAGCAAACCTTCTTCATCTATTTCATTTGTAGCTGATAGGGCTATTTTTGTGCTTCAAGGGTGCTGCTCATTTAAATAAAGGTCTCTTCTGAGCTTGCGGTTTTTAACAAGGCTTACATTGGCATTCAGTCCTCTGGTGGTTTTCATAGCACAGTAGTGTTTTGGGGGTAGTAGGTCAGCGCAGAAGAGACATGCCATTAAAGTTCCCATTAGAGCAGCTTTTCCTACAAGCTTGGTCCTTCCCTGGTGTCTCCTTTTGGAGCTGCACCTGTTTCTATTGCCAGTTTTCATACAAATCTACTGTGGAACAGACTGATTTTTGCTTCAGCTTCTCGTCAAAGAATCACTTCATCTTGAATATCGTGTGGGACCCCATGGTGCAGAGATACAGCTAGTTAGGATTGAGGCCTAATTATGTACCTGAAGGTTTAACCATTAGTCTCTGGAAGACAGAATCTCAGATCTGAGTTTCTTTAACCCAAAAGACCTCTTTAAATGACAGATGCTAACTATCTGTTTAAAATTGGGGTTATATTGTTTAGAAGGCATTCAGCTTGGAAGTGTCATGTTATTGAGAATTTGCTCATTCCAGAAATTGCAAGTTGGTGTTTTTTTTCTCTCTCAAGAGTTTAGTCCAACAGCTGTTACTCTTGTCAAGTTACTAAATAATCTGTATTCTCTCCTAGGTGGAACTGAGAGCTACAAAGAAAACATGGGAGATTCAGCACGTGAAGCAAGTTAAGGAAAAAGAGGAAAAAATACTTTGGGAAGATGAGGAAGAGTTGCTCACCTACACTCGGGAGGATGCATACAACAAGGTAATACCTGGCAATTGGTGTATTCCTTAGTAGTTACTCTGAAAATGTATATTCCTTCTTGGTGTAGCCAGTTCACTAGGCTCACTTGAATTGTGTTGCCTCTTTTTCTCTGTAGGAATATGTGTATGAAGGTGCAGATGGACAAACAGAAGTCATGCCTGTAAGTCATTTATGCTCTTCATCTTTTCAGACTTCTTTCTTTCAATTATCTTTTTAAGTTTAATTTGTTCAGTTCACTTACTAGTCTTCACAGTTAATTAAAAAGTCATGCTGATTTGTAAATTGTACTCTTGTGCAGCTTTGGACTCCCCCGACCCCGCCACAGGATGACAATGATATTTACATTGATTCTGTTATGTGCCTGATGTATGATACCACCCCAATTCCAGAGTCTAAGTTGCCTCCTGTGTATGTCAGGAAAGAACGGAAGCGACACAAAACAGATCCCTCTGGTATGTGTTTGGTTCAGAAAGGTTCTGCAGTACAGGCAGTCCTCGACTTACAACATTTCGAATTACAACATTTCACACTTACAACATTTATAAATTGACACCCTGTTTTAACTTTCTGGTGTCAGTTTTGACTTCACAACGCTTTATCCAATGCGATGCCACACTGGCGAACAAGTTTGCTGCATTGCTTATCTTCGTGGAGAACATCTGTCCAAACTTCCTTGGACACTTTCTTTAAGAAAGCAGCCAAGACTCCTGAGAAGACTCCAGCCAAGAACCCTTCAAAAAGTCCAGCCAAGAGCTTTTCAAAAAGTCCAGCAAAGTCACCTCAAAGAAGTCCTTCCAAATCAATATGATTGTTGTTTACAATATAAATACATGAATGTAGCTATATTACTCATCTATAAATTGATCGAGTACAAAATTCTGGCATACTTTTGGTGAAAATAGGGTATTGGGCCCTGGCTCAGGAACCAATACCCCATTTATAACATTTTTTTTAATGAGAAAATTGATTCTGAGTTGCAATGTTTCAACTTAAGATGCAATTTTTAGGAACCAGTTGTGTCATAAGTCTGAGGACTGCCTGTATTATCAGTTGGAGTCCTCTGTCACATTGCTTTATGTTTTCTGCTCCCAGAAAAAGCAAGGAGAAGATCATTTAGTCATACAGTTGTATGAAGGCTTTAAAAAGTTCAGATCCCCCTCAAACTAAGATAATCACCAGAGGCCACCATCTTCAGTTACTTAGACATTGTCCTATATTGTTCACTTAAAAACTTGTTTTTACGTTTCTTCCTTTTGTCTTTGATGCATATTAATCATATTAGCTATCTGGGATCTGAACCATTGGAAAAGCTAGTAGCCATGTTCAATTCCATTACTGACTCTGCATTTTTTTAGAGGCTGCCATGGTTTTATATGCAGTACAGAGCTCAGTATAGTCCTTGCAGCCTAATTGCTTGTTGTGTCCCTTTACTTTGTTGCGTGTTTCTTGCCCTCTGAAACTGTTCTGAAGATAGCATCGCTGTTCTAGCTGCAGGTCGGAAGAAAAAGCAGCGCCACGGAGAGACGGTTATACCTCCTCGATCGCTGTTTGACCGGGCGACACCAGCGATGTTAAAAATGCGGCGAGAGGGCAAAGAGCAGAAGAAGAACATACTGCTGAAACAGCAGACGCAGTTCGCAAAGCCATTGCCAACTCTTGTCAAACCAGCTGCTGAGGCTGGGCAGGACAATCCTGAGTGGCTGATCAGTGAAGACTGGGCCCTGCTGCAGGTAAGATGAACCCTGTGCTTTCCACTGTCATCATTTTGCTTCCCCCAGGCCTCTTTACAGTATGCCATACTTCCCACAGTGAACCAGATTGGTGCACTGTCCAGTGCAGCCAGCACGCTGTTTGCTTATGCGGGAGGGAAAGCTACTTTCTCCTCCCAGCCCCTCCCCACCCCATGTGCTGACCAATATTAGGAGCAGCTTGTGCCAGAAATCAGAACACCTGACAGCTATTATTCCTCTGTTCAAGAGCATGGGTCAGCTTGCACTTGAGCCCATGTTGTTTTTATGATTAGAGTAGTAACATGATGACATGTTGAGATGAGAAGATGATTTTATTGTCATCCATATTTTCTATCTTTGCCTTTTGTAGGCAGTGAAGCAGCTACTGGAGCTTCCTTTAAACCTTGCTGTTGTGTCACCAGCGCACACGCCTAACTGGGACCTCGTTAGTGATGTTGTTAACTCCTGCAGCCGAGTGTACCGCTCCCCAAAGCAATGCCGCAACAGATACGAAAATGTCATTATTCCCAGAGAGGAAGGAAAGGTGAGTTTGAATGGGACACTGCAACTTTTGAACTTCAGTTTGTCGTATTTTCTTTCTCATCTCTGTAAGCATATACTTTTATTAAATACTGCGGCAGTGTAAATAAATAACTTTTAAAAAGTTGTAAGTTATCCTCATTGGCTTTTCCACTTACTTTATGATTTCTTTGAAAAGAAAGAGCACCTGAACAAAATCTTCCGCAAAAGATCATCTAACTTTCCTTCTTATTTTACAGCTAATGTACGAAGCTAATCCTAAAAAGAAGACAAAAAGCATTTATAAGGTGTGCATTGGTATTGTTTCACAATCAAATCTAGACACTATGATATTTAGCATCAGTGGAGGTGGGCAGACGATACGTATGAGATCTTAAATACTGAAATAACAATTAAAACCCTGAATCTGTTTTTGTTTGTCAGTGCAGTGGATTGACACTAGACTTCAGCATTTGGAATTGGTAGCTGAATAGTAAACTGCCATGAAGTTTGGTTGTTTTGGCTTACTCCCTCGTGGATAGTTGTCCACCTAACGTGAACACCACATTATTCGTCTTGGTTTTTACAATGATGCTTAACACTTTTAATAACACATTTCATACAGCATGCACAAGATTTACAAGCATTAATGATTTATCCTTGAACACTGCTCTGCAGTATAATACTACCCCATTTTACAGGGGCAGAAACTAAGTCATATAGTCAAAGGACTTTGTCCAAACGTACAGCAAGTCAGTGGCAGAATGAGATGCAGAATGGAAATTCCTGACTTCAAGTCCCATCCCTTAATGAGCGGTCAGCTTCATCCCTGCTTGGGAGTTGCTGCTTCGGAGAAGCAAAGTATTGCACAGTGTGTTAGTATAGCTGTAGGGGGGTTCAGTTCTGACTCTGGTATTTGTGCGCACTAGAAGAACGATAAAAAGATTGGTAAAGGGCTCTCACTTTATTATCTCAAAATCCAAACTAAAACAAAAATTATCTTTTAAATTAGAAGAATCCAGCGATGATTCCAGTGTGACCTTGAGGGCTGCTCTTTATTTTGCCTTTTCTTTTTGTATTTCCCATAGAGTTGTATGCCAGTAAATTATCAGTGACACTAGACAGAAACCAGTCTGTGCGAGATTATGTTGGACTGCCATCTTAAATAATGGACAAGCACTAGGTGTTTGCACAGACACAAATATCAGTCGGATATTTTCAAATATAAAGGTGCTTTATTTTCATTTTTAGACTAAAAATAGTCGGCCGCTTCGTACCAATCAGATCTACGCCCAAGATGAAGGTGCAACCCACACACAGCTGTATACTAATCATTTTGAGATGATGAAAATGATTGCAGGAAAGAGAAGTCCACCAAGCAAACCTCTGTAAGTTTAGATAAATCTCTTCTGTATTTCATGATGCATGCGAGGCCACCTAGGCTTAGCCATACTTTTTATCCTCTCTTCCTATCTCTTATTTGTGATGTAAACTATTGTGCGTACCTGTGTACCATTTTGGCTAGCTGTTAAAGCTCTCTCTTCTTGCATTATTCTATCTAACTCTGTTGTTAGGATGGCGGTCCATCATCACAGCTGCGTACTTTTCTTATTAACATTCGTTTTTTGGGCAGAGACATATTCAGAAAGAAACATCTTCACCTTGCGTTCCGTTTTTCAACTGCATGAGTTACAAAAATCCTAAAGACACTGAAGTATGTTATACTTCCACCTGTAGTTACCTGCCAAGTATTTTTATATAAAATATCCATCCATCCACTCATCCAGCAAACATCACCAGAATTACAAAGCAACATCTTGCAAATATGCACACAATTAAATGTTGCCATTAAAGTTCTCTCCCTCCAATACCTTAATTTTGACTAATTTCAGACTTGGCATGAATCCTTTCCAGAAGAATCCAAAACATGCTTCAGTGCTTGCAGAAAGGTAAGGACTCTTGTATGTCTTAAATGGCTTAAAAGCTGGATTTTTTTTAATGCTTATTTTCTAAATTCTTTTATTGCTTTAATTTCTAGTGGAATCAACTATGATAAGCCACTTCCTCCGATTCAGGTTGCCTCCCTCCGAGCAGAGCGTATTGCAAAAGAGAAAAAGGTACGGTTTGTGTCTCAGTCTTTTCCTGTTTGCTCCCATGCTGCAGTAGTAGCAGCCTACCTGTTCTGCTACGATAAATAAAGTTGAAATGCAAAGGCTGGTAAGGAAACAGAATTGTGTTAAAATAAATTGTGGAGCAGTGACATGAGCTAAGCCTTAGACATTTGTCACCACAGTGACCAAAATGTGCAGCATTCCAGCCTTAATGGGGTTTGAGCATCTATTTCCTGAAGCAGCATGTTCTCAATGGGTCTGTCATGATGTCAGGGCATTCACAAGCATGTAGGACTCATTTTTGGGACACACAGTTAGCCAACTTCCTCATTTTACCCATGTCTCTCCTGTAGCCCCAGTTATTTATCATCCAGAAAGAACTGCCTTCCCTACTAATAAGGGCATGCTTTGCATGTAGAGTCTGCCTGGGTATTGATGGTTATCTCTTGAGATGAGGTTGGAAGGTGTGGTTGATTACCAGGGTTCTTGCATCCACTGCTTTGAAAAACACAGGAACCCTTTTGCTTGTGATTCTCCAGGCTTTGGCCGAACAGCAGAGGGCACAGCAGCAGACAGGGCCACAGCCGCAACAGCAGCAGCAGCAGCAGGCCGGCCAGCAGCAAGCACAGCAGCCAGCTGTACAGCAAGCACAAGCCCAGCCTCAACCACAGGCTCAAGCACAGGTAGTTCAGCAGCCACAGGCAGTGGTGCAGACTGCAGTAACTACTGTGGCCAACACGGCAGTATTGGTAAGGAAGGAAAGGCTCGCTGCTTCTGAAGCAGGGACTTCGCTTCTTGGGGGTGCATAATCCATGCGTACACTCTCTGTCGTGAAGGGGAGAAATTCTGACTCGCTAGTCACAGCCTCATCATTAATTTCCTGGATATGCTGGGTATCTTGGTTTTCCCTTTCTCCTTCACTAGGGAAATTTATACTAGACTTGACATAGTCAGCTTTGGTCCTCTCTAGGAGGAAAACAGCAAAAGTCTCAGCTGGTACAACATTATCTTCTCCAACAGTAACTGAAAAACATTTACACTGGTAATTTGGGGAGCAGAGAGACAGATGGGTGCTTCAGTCATTTTAAAAATCCCTTTTTCTGTGGAGGAATATGGAGATGTATTTTCCCTGTGAAACTCGTGTTTCTTAGCCCAAAGGCAGCCATTCAGAAGCTTCCCAAATGATTTAGAGGTTCTCCATTCACAGGTTGGCGTCCTTTGAGAGTTTCATAATGATATGCAACTCAAAACAGTTGTATTATTTAAGATGTGAGGAGGTCTGGTTACAGAGCTAATTAGCTAGTTGACATTTGTTAACCTGCAGAGACAGTAAGCCAGATAGAGAGCCCAATTGAATGAAATAGTTGAGTCATTTTGCCAAGAATTTATATTAAGCAGATCTAAACAAAAAGATTTGGAAGAGCTGTTATAGCTCACTATAAATCGTACAGTTGGATTGTGCCAGCTTTTGGGTGGTCCCTTCTTAACTTCAGTGGGACTATGAATGTGTTTTTAGGGTCTGTGCTGATGCTTACAAAAACAGGTTGGGGGCCTGTTTTTAAGACTAAAGAGGTTATATAAGTACGCAGCTGGTTGTGATTTTAACTTCATTAGAGAGGAGCCAAAGTGTTGTAGCTTTTATAGAGAGTTTAATATATGCATAAATTGCTGTACGTGTGCAATACAGAGAATATATACTTAAGTACTGTACATACTTAATAGTGCTTAAGTAGCTGTGCACTTTACCATAATACTTTTTGTCAGTGCCTCATTTCCACAGTAAGACAGGTCATTGCATTAAGCAATAAAGTGGTTTAAGAACTTTTAATCTTTGTTTTCCCTGAATGCATTTGTCTGAATTGTCTTCTAAACAGGCTGGTACAATCAAAACAGCAGTTCCTGGGACAAGTATACAGACTGGTAAGATGCCTTATAGTGGAGTCTTGGGGATAGGGGAGCAAATATAGAAATGTCTTCCCCACCCTCCTCCCAGCCTCATGTTTAATTTGAGTTTATTTTCAGCCACAGTGAGTGGGAACGTTATAGTGAACACAGTTGCTGGGGTCTCTGCTGCTACCTTCCAGCCGATCAATAAACGTCTGGCTTCACCAGTCATTCCTGGAACCCTGACTGTGAGTACTTTTTCCTTAAGTATCTGAGCAGAGAGAGAGAGAGGCTAAGAAGATGTAAACGTATTTTCCTCTCCGTCTCTGGCTCTCTCGTTAAAATATAAAGGTTCCATTGTTTTAAATCTAGTCTGAAAGCAGTGAAGAGTGATGACTTTCTGTTTTCTTAGACTTCTGGAGGTACAGCTACTGCACAAGTGGTACATACTCAACAGCGAACAGCAGCAGCACCTGCTGCTTCAACTGAATTGGTCACCATAGCAACTACACCCGGTGTTCGAGCAGTAACATCTGTGACGGCATCAGCAGTGGTAACTACTAACCTCACTCCAGTACAGACCCAGACACGGTCCCTTGTGACTCAGGTTACACCAGGTAATAATCAGTGGTTTAATTCTTCACAGGGTACATAAAGTATCCTAGCTAATGTGAACATTGTGGTCCCTGAATACTAGGAATTTGTTAGTAGTCCAATTAAACTTTTAACATGGCTGTCCTTAAGGAAACTATTACATTTTCCCACATTAAGCATTACTGAATGTGCAGTACTGAACATGTCTCTGTGTATGTAATGCTCAGGCATCCTGGTTTTCTCTGATTTAAAAAAAATCCCCAATTTTTGGTTTAAAAAAAGTACCCCAAATCCACATTTTCCACAATTTTAAATGAGACACCACTTTAACATGAAACAGCACTATATATATATCTGTAAGTGGTGTCTCATTTAAATCGCAGAAAAATGAGGATTTGGGGTTACTTTTTTTAAACCAGAAATTGGGGATTTTTTTTAAATTAGAGAACACCAGAATCCCTGGTAATTATATATGATGTTCAGTAGCTATGAATGATCAGCAAGAGGAGCAGCACAGTTTCAGGATGCAAGCAGCTCCTTGGAGGAAATACAGCTTAGTGATTAGAAAAGCAGATGTCTGAGGCATAGAAACAACTGATGTGAAGCTCTTAAAATAAGAGATGTTAAATATGTGAAGTATATTATTAGTACAAAATTGCATTTGAGATACATAAGTACATATTTGTTTTGGTTTTTAATTTATTCAGGAACCATATACTCTTTAAAGGGGACTTAGAGGGCATAATCTTATGTGAGCTGTAGTAGCCAGCACTTTATTTCTGCATCAGTAAAGTAGTATGTATAGCAACAAGTTGATGTACAGCTATGGGTATGAACATGATTCTTCTAATAGTTTTGTTTAGCAGAGAGCCACACAGATTAGCTGTTTGTCTTGTTCTGACAGTGATCCTAAGTCATTCCTGCTTCCATGGTCCATTTGGGCCTCCAAAGCTTATCTCGTTTCCTTTAACTCAACCCCAAATCCACTTTTGAGCTGATTAGGCAGGAAAAAAGTTGTGTTTAGCAAAGGTACTTGAACTTCTTAAGTGAAGTTGATGAGTTTCATCAAATGGCTGACCTTTCTCTTTCCCTTTTGTTCTATATACAGCTACCCCGACGGTTCAGCTCTCTGGCAAAACAATCACCCCTGCCCATTTCCAGCTTCTCAGGCAACAGCAGCAGCAAGCCGCTCAGGTGCAAGTCCCACAGATTCAAGCCCAGGCCCAGACCCAGTCTCCAGCTCAAATAAAAACAGTGGGGAAGTTATCACAGGTGAGTGACATTCTTAAGACAAGACAGAAGCTGCTCTTTGCTGTTACTTGAAGCACTCATTAACGATGTCTGCAGTAACCTATGTTTTTAGAGTAGAAAGAACTGGAAGTCTTCCTTACATTCCTTCCTGCTGAGACTAAGCTTTTATGAAATACAGAGCAAGCGAACATATTCATGTTGGTTTAGTATGGTTTCTTTAAGTAAATCAAAGTGCAAACATTGAATGTAGTCTGTTCTCTAGAGGTCCATACCAGCAGCCACATTCTTAGTTATATAGTCTAGTTCAGACCTAGTAGGGAAGTCTCCTGGCTTGCCATTGTAGCTCCACTCCTACTCTGAAAGCCATTAAAAATTTAAACATGATAGAAACACTTGTTTTTCAGGAGCAGCTGATCAAGTTACAGAAGCAGAAACTGCAGCTTCCTCAGCAACAAGCAGCACAGCAGCAGGCCCAGCCAGGGGCCCAACAACAAACCACACAAGTGCAAGTGCAGCAACAGCAGCAAACGCAACAACTCACTGCTGTGACGGCACCAAGGCCTGGAGCTGTCCTTACTGGCACCACCGTGGCGAACCTCCAAGTTGCTCGTCTTGTAAGTTGTCCTTGATTCTGCTAAAGATGCTCTTACACAGGTTGATACTTGTTGATGGCAAAGCTTTTTTACATTGCTCTGACAACATAAAAGGGACTTCAAGTGAGTATAAACGTTAATCCATGTCCACTTGAAAGGCCCTTCTGCACTTCCAGAGCAGTGTAAAGGGCCTTAGTATGAATATGACAGGCCCTTTGTTTCTGACCATACAGGTATCACGTTGCAATAACCTAGTGAAATAGCCCAATTGTTCTTTGTGTCAGTACAATAATCCTGATTCCTTACTGCTTAGACTCGTGTTCCTGCTTCCCAGCTTCAAGCACAAGGACAGATCCAGGCCCAAACACCTCAGGCGGCACAGGTTGCTTTAGCGAAGCCTCCAGTGGTGTCGGTTCCAGCTGCCGTCGTGTCATCTGCTGGTGTCACAACGCTCCCTGTTACGGTCGCTGGCATTAGTGTTGCTATTGGGCAGCCTCAGAAAGCTGCAGGTAAGGTATTACAGCCATTTTTTTTTAAATGCCATGTGAGCCCTTCTCGCTCATCAGATTGTAAAGGGACACAGCTTAAAATCAGCCCTCAAGTCTCATTTTAAAAATGAGTTGAAAGTACTTTCAGGACCTGTGGGTTTCTGGGGTTCTGTGGTCCTGTTTAAGAATGGGGATGGGGGGTGTTACAGGTCTTCCATGTACATTCTGATTGTTTTTGTAAATGGCAGGAGGGCAGACCGTGATGGCACAGCCCCTCCACGTCCAACAGCTCTTGAAACTCAAGCATCATCAGCCGACCCAGCAGCAGAAAGCCATCCAGCCCCAGGTTGCACAAGGTCAAGCTACTGTGCAGCAAAAGGTATTTCCCCATGTTCACTGTTACCTTGTAGTTCTGTGATGGCTTCTGGGCTGTCGTTAGTCAGCTATTGGCTTTGCTAAATTGCACTCAGACTTTCAGACCTAGCCAAAAATTGCTATGCGTGGGTCTCAGTAGATTTCCTCAGAAGACCGGTCTACAACCCTATAGTACTGTTATTATAAACCTCTTCAGACATGTAGGAGTTCTCTGAGAAGGTTACATTCTGGTAGCCTTTTCAAGCTGAAGCTGATTTAAAAAAACCCCAGAACAAGTGCTGTTTCGAGCCCGTGTCAAAATTTTTCTCTCTTCTGAGCATAAAGGCTTTTTTTCCAGCGTTCATTTGCTGGATAAACCCTGAAGTAATCACCAATTACATTTAGATTCTTGAGACAAACTCCTCAGGAATCTGTCTGTTCTTCAGAGTATGTTCTAGTCATCACTGATGTTCTATTTTTCTGCTTCAGATAAATGCTCAGCAAGTGACTGTCCAAGCTCAACAGCAGACATCGCAGCAGCAGAAAGTAACCTATACTACACAGCCAGCCATTAAAACCCAGTTCCTAACAACTCCTATTTCCCAGGCCCAAAAACCTGGTGGAACCCAACAAGTGCAGGCACAGATACAGGTACAGGTAACACAACTTCTTCCCCTCAAGTTATATTCTGGGATCAGAGAGTAGTAAAAATCACTTGTTGCAATGCAGTCAGATCAGACAAACAGCTAATCTGTGTGGCTCTCTGCTAAACAAAATGGTTTAGAAGAATTGTGTTCATATCTGTAGCTCTACATCCTCCAGCTTCACTGCCAGGTGTGCATGCACAAAAGCTGACTTGAAGTGTAATGGACATTTGCAACGTTCTAGTCCAGTGGTTCTCAACCTTCTCTTTTTGTACCAGGACCCATTTGTAAACATCGATGGCCAGTCTGGACCCAGTAAACAGCCGCCCCCCACCCCAGCATGTTGTGGGGAGAGGCTAGGGCATGGGGGGGCATATCCCCCCCCCAGGTTTGTGCGCCCATAGCAGGCATGGGGATGCAACCTGGCTGGACTGGCATAGGCAGGAGCTGCCTCCACAGCCCAGCGGGTGGGACCTGGCACAGGAGGGCAGAGCAAGGTGGTGAGACTTGTTGCTACTGCTACCAGGACCCATTCCCTGCCCCCCGCCCCCCCCAGTGCCATCAGCAGCATGAGGAATAATGGGGGGAGGAGGGCGGGGCTATGCTGCCCTCCCCTCCTTTTGCTGCCAGCTACTCAGGCACCAGGCTGCAGCTCTACCCAGCCACCGTAGCCTGGCCACCGCTGCTGCCCTCAGGCCACACCTCTACCCCAGAGGAGGGGTGGGG